CAACCACAGAGTTGGTTTGGTTAAAATCTTTTCTTGCTTCTCTTACTATTAACCATGACGAACCAATGGAGTTATGTTGTGACAATCAAGCGGCCATGCACATTGCTGCCAACCCAGTTTTCCATGAGCGTACCAAGCATATTGAAATCGACTGCCACTTTGTACGGGAACGTTTGTTAGCCAAAACTATTCGAACGACATATGTTCGATCTCATTTGCAACGTGCAGATATCTTTACAAAGGCACTAGGGCGCGCCTCCTTCATGGCTTTCCTTCCCAAGTTGGGCATTTCAAGTCTTCATGATGTAACTTGAGGGGGAGTATTGGAACTAGAAGATTCTGAAGATCATTTGTTATTCTTTGTATCTAGGCAGTTTGTTCATATTGTTATCTTTGTATCTCTTTCGTATTCCTACGTTCTTATCTTATTGTTATACTTAACTTTCGTTGCTGTTACACATTAGCTAGCTGTTATACGTAGGTTCTCTTAGGCTGTTTTTCGGTTACTAGAGTTTAGGACTTAATTGAGTCTATTTAATGACTTGTAACATGTACATTCAAAATATAATGAAATGCATTCACTCATTACTATTTGATAGAATATCAATTTAAAGGGTAACGTACAGTGTGCTATTTTATAATAACTTAAAAAGAAGTTACCACAACTTTAAATAAAGTTATAAATTTTTTCAAAAAATTACATATATTTTGAAATTTAAAAAGGTATAAATATTTTAAATGTAAAATACTTTTAACTTCACAATGTTTATATATCTTCTGTCGAAATTCTATTGATTCAATCAAAAAAGAATTGTCATATTTTGCAAAAATTATTGTAAACATCACCAAACTCTAAAGAAATAATAATGCGTAAAGATCCTTAGCAATAGAGTATGCGAATTGTAAAAGTCAATCGTGATGCTGTCTAAATGCTTTCCGCAAAGACAAAAATTCTTCCATTTGAAAAATGACAAATTTTGGTCCCAGCCACAACATAATTTTGGCCAGAATATAGAAACACCTCCTTTTGTTGTGCCCAGAAGTGGAAATACGATTAAAAATAAAAATTTAAACTAAAAAATAATTCTTTTATATGTCTAAACGTGTTAGTCAAACAGTAACATAATAGTCAAGGCGTTAAGAAATATTAAATAAAAAATCAAATTTATCCAAACACAAATGGTTCTATCTCTTTCTCTCTCTTTAAAAAAAAATAAAAAATGCAGCGTTAATAAAAAATTAGTAATTTGCTATATCCATCCACAAATGTGTCCGCAGAGCTAACTTTATTAAAGCATTGGGGGTTATATTCATCCTCGAATTCATCGTCATAAAAAAGACTATTTACTTATTTCGAGTCTTTTGTACTACTACTTTGGCAATATGGATGGAAAACTTAGCTTATGAGTTTTTTTTTTTTGAGAAAAAAAAATATTTCTCTTAAAAATCTTGTTTGGATGTCTATTTTTTAAAAAGCAGAAATTATAAAAAAAAAAATTAAAATTTAATTTGTTAATAAATTAAAAAATTTATCTTCAAAAAAAAGTAAAAATCAAAAGTCAAATATTTTTTTCAAAAATTTAAATTGCTTTAATTTTTATAAAAAAACACTTCTAAAATAAATAAGGTATAAAAAAACATTTTTTTAGAAGCCTATCCAAACAGACTCTTAGACTAATCGATCAGAAAAGTTATTTTTTTCCTTTAAAGAAATTCCAAGAAAAGGTTTACAAACAATAAAAATTACAAAGTAAAGGTTTTTTTTAATAAGATTTACAGAGTTTAGAACAAATATTATAGGACTGATTATATCAATTAACACATTAAAAAAGCACGAATACATAAATGTTAATAATTAATAGTTAAGTAAGGTTATTCAACAATATATATGAAGTACGATATGATGTTACAAAAGTAACAAAACAATAAAAAAATTGGCAAGAGTAGATCAAAGTTTATTAAGATTCAAATATAATTATAAAATAAGTTAAAATAATGAAAATAGCTAACTTATTCAAAAATTAATAATAAAGATAATTTAATTTAGCAAAAACTTTGACCAAGAAATTCTAACATTTTAATATTACATTTGAAGTTACATATCATTGTTTCATTTAATTTATTTTAAATATTAGCGTGAAATTAAGTTTTTTGAATAATTAGGAGAATATTTTCAATAAATACTTTTTGAAGATTAAAAAATTATTTTTATATAAAAATATAACTCATTTACATGGCATTTATATTTTATTCACTTTATCATATACTATGCTGTTAGTCATCGAAATCAATTATATAAAAAATTTATGACTTATTTTTTATTATATTTTTTAGTGTTATTAGACGAGATTCAAACTGGTTGGGTTACACTAGAGATCGGTGAACTAGTGATACACCTAGTTCAACTCAAGTGAGTCAATGGATCGCCGTGTAACAGACCATGTAAGAATCGGTTTGAATCAGTCGATTTTTGGTAAAACTTGGCGACTCGGCCTTTTTTTTTAAAAATCAATTGAATGGTTGGGTCATATAGTTTTTTTTAAAGCGAAACAAAAACAAAATAATGAAATTTTGTGTTTTTATATCTCTATCATCGGCCTAAATCCCTAAATTGCAATACATTTATGTATATTTTAGAGTAAATTTTCTTTTTGGTCATCAGCAAATTTCACGATACTCACTTTAGTCCTTAGCAAATAAAAAGGCCCATCGTGATCCCTAAGAAATTCAAAGTAGACCCATTTTAGTCCTTTTAGGGACTAATATGGGTCATTTTTGAATTTGTGAGTGACCACGATTTTAACTAAATGGGTCCATTTTGAATTTCTTAGGGACCACAATGAGCCTTTTTATTTGCTAGGGACTAAAACGGGCGTCGTGAAATTTGTTGAGGACCAAAAAAGATATTTACTCTATATTTTAAGTATTTGAACATTTTTATGAAATATTGAATATAAAATATAAATCTGTATATATTTATCTATATCCACCAATTTAATAAATGAATCACTGGTTGAATCAGTAACCCAATAAATTAATACCTCGCTCGAGTCAATGATCGTGTCAAGTTTAATAATATTGAATTATTCTTGCAATTTATCGATTAATTTTAAATAAGGTTAAGATGAAATAAAATTACTGATTAAGCTTCGTGACAAATGATTCATGTGTTGGGTGGTCTCAATTTTTTTTTTATGGAAAATAATAATCTCATATTTAGGGATGAAAGTGGGCTGGCCCGGCTTATAAGGGCCTACGGCCTCGTCTATATCAGGTTGGGCTTGGCCTATTATATATAGTTAGATAGAACATGATCAGACTTTTAAAAAAGCCTATTTAGAAAGTAGGTGATAGATTTTTTTGTTTTTACATATTGGGCCTATAAGCCTACATGCCGGTCTATATCATATTATTTATTTTAAATAAAAAATTCATAATAGTACCAAATGATGATATTGGTACATGTGAGTTAAGTAGGTGGTAGAAGAACTTAGGTTCATTCCCTCGCCAATACTATCTTTGTGAGTGGCATAAGACATAAGATCTGTACCAATCTCTACAGTATTATCAGAATCAACATTTAGTGCTGGAGGAAGAGTTATTGATCCTATCGTTCTAGCTTGGCTGAAGATACCATCTCAACTTTAATTTACGCCGGAGATTGGCTACGTAATTGGTATGACTTGAAGAAAAATAAAAGGTATAAATTTAATGAATTGAAATTATTTTATACCAAATGGTGGTAGCTCAGTTGGGGCATGGGAGCTGAGTAGGTGGGGGTGAGGGCATGTGTTCGAATCTCCCCAGTACCACCTTTGGGAGGGGTTTAAAGCCTTAATCCTGGACCCGTCCCGAATCGGACTAATCGCGAAGCGATGAACCGATGGAATATTTCCAAAAAAAATAAAAATAAATTATTTTATAATTTAATTATATTTGATTAAGTTTTAATAGAAATTTGACTTTATTTTTTATGTAGGAGGAACCAACATCTCAAAAAGTGAGATTGCTTATATGAATCTATTAAAATATTTTTTGTTTCTTAATTTTTATTTTCTATTCTTTATTCTTGTTTTTTGTTTTCTACATTTACAATAATCTTGGAATTGTATTTGTAGGGAAGAGAAGATGATGAGAAGTTTTTGGCTACTACAAGCATCATGATGTGTTTGTTGGATTCATGTAGTTATTTTAATTTACATAGTATAGAATTGTTTGTTGGATCTGTTGAAATATATATTATTTAGTTTGAGCATTTTACTTTTGAAAGTGACTTAAATGCAAACTGTGATGAGTTTTGTTGTGATTCATGGTTCTGTTTGGACGTTGAAATTGTGATTTTTGTTTTAACAACAGAATTTAAGTATTTTGTGAAGTTGATTTATGGTTCTGCTTGGAAGTTAAAAATTAACAGGCTAAAAGGGTCAAGCCAGACCATTTTTTTTTATAAACAAGTCAAGCTAGGCTAACAGTTAGACACATACTAAGTTCGAACCAGGTCAAATTGAAATTTTTGATATAGACTTGAACTTTTCGAAGCAAAGCTCGGTCCAGCTTTGTCCACTTTCACCTCTACTCATATTGGGTGAGATTATTGAATGTGAAACTTAGTTTAAATTTTTCTTTCTCCCTTATTCTTTTTCCTCTCACTTTCGTGTGTGTGTAGGAGATTGTTTTTACGAGGAAAACAACTTTTTATTTATTTATACAATCCAAGTTTTAAGAAATTGAAACTCTTGATTAAAAAATTAAAAGCAAAACGCTTCTTTTAACTGAAAAAGAGAATAACCCATCACCACCGTCAAAACCAAACCGACCCGAATCTCTCTCTCTCTCTCTCTACCGTTTCTTTTTCTCTCTATGTTGTGCCTTTACTGTTCGCAAAAAGTCTATGATAAAAGTTTTAAACCCCTGCCTCTCCCTCTTTCTCTGTCCCTTTCTCTCTTCACACTCCACGCATACATACAGACCTTTTTTGCTCTATATCTCTTACTACAAGGCTCTCTCAAACGCCGCCACTAGCAAGTTTGTAGCTTTTTTGTGTGGTCTTTCCACCCTGCCATTTCCCTCTTTTCCCAAATACATAGCGAGTCACACACTTAAAATTTTGTGTGAAAAACAAGAATAGGGCATTAGTAGTAGTGTTATTATTATTCCCCATATCTTTTTTGGTGATTTTTTTTTTAATCCTTTGCAAGTTGTAATTACTATAACCTTTTTCAAGTTTCAAGTTTTCAGCCATACTCTTGTTGGTTGCTCTACTTAAATGCCCCCTTTTCCCCTTGTAGCTTTTCTTTCTTGTCACTTTAGCCTTTCTTTCTAGTCACACACCCTTTGCCTTACCCTTTTTCGGTTTTAGAGAGAACCAGAAGAAGAAAATGTCGGTTTTAGCATACCCTTTTTTTTCATTGTTGCCGATCGCTATTATGGGTAGATGATATGATAATGAAACATTGTAGACCCTATTTTGTTTTCATCTTTTGCCCCCCTCTTTCTCTCTGTTTCACTGCATAATATGTTATAATAGGCTGTTGTCAAAAGTCTTCTTCTTTACTGTTTGATTCACTACTCTTTTTTCAGAACAACACATATTGACCAAGAAGAATGGGAGATAATAAAGACCAGGATTTCATTTCCAACAAATTACCAACTACCTCTCAGGTAAGCCCCTTTGGATTATCACATTCTTGTTTTATGTACCATGTAAAGTGATTTTTTCTTGCTTTTTGAGACCAGGTGGTGGAAGAACTGAAGGAACTGTGGAGCATGGCCTTGCCTATCACAGCTATGAACTGGTTGGTCTTTGTAAGAGCTGTTGTTTCTGTTCTCTTCCTGGGTAGGCTTGGAAGCCTAGAACTAGCTGGTGGTGCACTCTCCATAGGCTTCACCAACATAACAGGGTACTCTGTTCTTGTGGGTCTTGCATCAGGCCTTGAACCTGTGTGTAGCCAAGCCTTTGGAAGCAAAAACTGGGACCTTCTCTCCCTCTCCCTGCAACGAATGGTCCTCATACTCCTCATAGCAATTATGCCCATAAGCCTTCTCTGGCTCAACCTTAAAAAAATCATGCTTTTCATGGGCCAGGACAGTGCCATCACAGAAATGGCAGCCATCTACTGTTTCTACTCTCTTCCAGACCTTTTGACAAACACCTTGCTACAGCCCTTGAGGGTGTTCCTGAGGTCACAAAAGGTGACCAAACCCATGATGTACTGTTCCCTGGTGGCTGTGGTTTTCCACGTGCCCTTGAACTACTTGTTGGTGGTGGTTATGGAACTTGGGGTGCCAGGGGTGGCCATGGCTTCTGTGCTGACAAACCTGAACATGGTTGTGTTGATGGCAGCATATGTGTGCCTGTGGAGGAAGAATGAGATGATGTTGAGGTGGGGTTGTGGTGGTGGAATAATGGTGGGTGTGTGTGGTGGGTTAGGGCAGTTGATGAAGTTGGCTGTGCCTAGCTGCCTTATGATATGCTTAGAGTGGTGGTGGTATGAGATTGTGACTGTGATGGCTGGGTACTTGCCAAATCCAACTTTGGCTGTGGCAGCCACTGGGATTTTGATTCAGACAACTAGCATGATGTACACTGTCCCCATGGCTCTTGCAGGTTGTGTTTCTGCCAGGGTAAGTCTCCCAATACTATTTGTCTTGATTATTTTAGCCTAATAAAAACAAAAACATTTTTTTAACCATATTGGTTTTTGTTTTTAAGGAAATAATTTTCTTATCCGGTGGAAAAAGAGTTATTATCTAATTTAATAAAAATAAAATTATAAGTGGAATTCACGGATAAAAGAAAAAAATAAAGATGAGACTTACTCCTTTTTTTTATGTGTATTGAAAATTTATTTTTCTTTTCCTATATAAAATAAATATAACCCTTGTTTTAATCATAGTTTTGAGTTGTGAGTCTCATCTTTTATTTTTTTTCCTTCTCAATTGGGTTGGGTTTGGGTGGAGAGAGAAATGGAGATAGAGACTGGATAGATAGATATGGAGTGGCTTGGCTGGTTTGTTTTCTAACCTTTTTTTGTGTCTGTGACTTGATGTTAAGAATTTGTAAGCTGTAAGCAACCATATATTTTTAGCAATTTGGCTTTCAAACCAAAGTGGCTGGGATAAGTTCCAATTTGCACTTTTTTTTTTTAATTGGATGTATCTAACTAATCGTAGATGGTAGCAAATACTATGTTACTCTATAATGGGGAAAACGATTTGGTTCAAATTTACTTTATTTTTATTTTTATTTGCTGCATTTTATATTATTTCTTTCCTTTTTCTTTTTTATATTTTTGTATAAAATCTTCAAACATAATTGTATTCAGCATAACTTTAATCCTTAAGACATTGGAGGTAAACGAATTTGAAATAATGATGATAATAATAATGGATTGCGTCAGTTTTTTTTTTTTTTCCTAATAATGATGGGTTGGGACAGTTTTTTTTTTTTTTTACAATTTGTCTGTTTTGTTAAAATGAGTTTTTTTTCCCCTTTCCCTTTCTTGTCAGATGCCAAATACACGTGTGGGGGTTACCGGTTATGTACTCCAATTTTCTTTACAGTTTACACTCGGAATCTTTGATCTTTTTGGTTGCTTTCTTTTTTTAGCTTTTTTTCTCTTTAGCCTAAACGTGAATCATTGGTTTGTTTGCTGAGGTATTAATTTGATGTATGATTGCGTCAAGTACAGGGACCCAGTTAGGTCACACTTGTAATGTGACTGGACAAAACTAGAACTAATTGATCACTTGTTAGTGCAATTCTGCTTGGCTTGGATAGAAGGCCCATTATAGATTTATATTTGACTAAATATTTAACCATCAAATCACTAAAGTAACCCACTATTCTTTTGGTACACATGAAATTAGTTGGTAATCTGTGTGATTTTGCAATTTGAATTATACGGTAAAACCAATGTAAAATTTACTATGAAGCACTTAAAATAATAAATTTCTATGCAGGTAGGGAATGAGCTTGGAGCTGGTAAACCATACAAGGCAAAGCTAGCAGCCATGGTTGCCTTGGGATGTGCTTTTGTGATGGGCTTCATCAATGTGACATGGACTGTGATCCTTAGACACAGATGGGCCGGGCTGTTCACAAATGATGAGCCTGTCAAAGCCTTGGTTGCATCAGTTATGCCAATTATGGGCCTATGTGAGCTTGGAAACTGTCCACAAACCACGGGTTGTGGGATCCTTCGCGGTACGGCTCGGCCCGTAATAGGAGCCCACGTCAACCTGGGCTCATTCTACTTTGTGGGTACGCCAGTGGCTGTGGGCTTGGCATTTTGGTTCAAGATTGGGTTCAGTGGGCTCTGGTTTGGGCTTCTCTCTGCACAGGTGGCATGTGCTGTGTCAATCCTCTATGTTGTGATAGTACGTACAGATTGGGAAGCTGAGGCTTTGAAGGCTGAGAAGCTCACGAGGGTGGAGATGGGTAGCTACAATGGGCCCAGGAATAAAGACAGTGAGAAAGATGAAGCAAGCAAGGAGTTGTTGGGGAATGGAAATGGGAACAAAAGTGATATTTGCTAAAAGGACAACACAATTATGAAGATTGGGATTTTCTTTGTTGGTTAAGATCAGATATTGTTGCCTAGTAGATTGGAGTTGAAGGCTTATGGTGACGATGGGTTGCTTTGTTATAATTTTTAAGGGGGCTTATCTGTTTTCCTTTCCTTTTCATCTTTTGGAAAGGGCTGCAGGGAACGAAGTCTCACTTTCAATGCCAATTGTTACATATTTAATACCTTTTTTTTTTAGTACACATATTTAATACTTTTTTAATCCTAAGATTTGAGTGCTGTCAAAAAAAGAAGAAGTAGCTTTTGAGTTGTTGTGAGTGACAAGTGCATGGAGATATAGCTGGGATATGAGAATCTGGCATCTGACATTTGCTAATTTTTAGATATAAGGCTGAGACTGATAGATCAAACAGAAAGCAGCTTTGCCTGAAAGCTGTTGCACACACAGCAGCACCAAGCTGTGTAAAACTCGTGTCAGTACCTGACCTATGCTAATGGCTAACAATTTGATTCTCCGGTACTAAATCACCACAGGCTTACACAACTTTTTAATAAAATTTTATATGCAAGTTATTTATGAAATTTGTGAACTTAATTTTTTTTTTAATAGCATATATTTTATTTTCTTGAAATATAATGTTTTTAACATTTTTTTTTGCTTCTAATTTTGGTTTTAACTTCAAGTGAAGACAAACATTTTTAGTTAAATCAGATAAACATAAATATTTCCTCATTGAAACGTTTGTTAACCAAAAATAGTTTATGTGAAATTTCTAAACTAATAGGGTCCTGGTGATGGATATATAACTAATCTGGAGCAAAGCTATCTCCTTTTTCACTGATTTATTGGATACCTGATTTCAGATTTTTTAAGATCCACAGAAAACATATCCAATATTATGGCTTTGGTTAAATTTGTATGTTTACATAAAGGACTAACTTTTTATTACAGAATTGAGCATCACTTGCTTTCGAAAGATTTAATATTCTTGATTTTGCAGTTTGCTGAAGATGATGTTGATATTTAACTTTAAAAATTATAACTTTTTATTGACTTGAAGGAGTGTCCTCTTGGTTGGAGATTATAGCAAAATTAGGGATTTTTTTAAAATGAATTCAGTACTCCTATTTTCCTTAATTAGAAAAATCCTATATCACTTCTATCCTTTCCTTTTTCTGTATTTCCATGCATGTCCTAAATTTTTTCTACTTTAGGTACCGATTTTGTAACCTATCATTTTTAGGAAAATTTCTACTTTGGGTACCGATATATGTACATCGGTAACCTATAGGTTGTCAGGAACATCTAAGGAGGGTTTGTCAAGACTCAAGGGTTAGTTTACCTAGGATGGTAGCCTCTGTTTGGGCTTATTCTGTTTGTTTTTTCTTGTATTTCAAAAAAAAAAAAAAAAAAAAAAAAAATGCTCTACGAGGCCATTTGTTTAACGAATTCTTTACGAACCAACAGTGACATACCGCTGAATGCAGGATTGCCGAATCATCGTGTATCATTTTGTTTAACGAATTCTTTACGAACCAACAGTGACATACCGCTGAATGCAGGATTGCCGAATCATCGTGTATCATTACTTCATGCTGATTGGTCATTGGGTTATTCCCAATGCTTTTCCCCAAAAAAAAAAAGAAGTAAGAATAACATTAGATATAACTGGGTATATTTAATTGAAGCACAGATATCTATGTCGTTTTGAAAGATCATAGACCTTTTTACTATGTTAAGTTGTGTAATAGTTTTGAAAAAAAAACAAACTTCCTTCGGGGTAGCTTCTTTTGGATGAATTTGATTTGGCTCTTACCAACCATTAGTCACTTGCTATTTACAAAAAATTATAATATAATATTTTAAATTTTTATGAAATGATCCTTTAACTGGAGTGTAAATACGACACAGCAAGCCAAAAAGCTCAAAAACGGGGGGGAGGGGGGAGTATGAATTTAAATCCCAAGTGGTCACAACGTCTGTGATATTAAAAGTTTAAATTTATAAATAATAAGTCTTAAATAATTTTTATATTATATTTTCCTAATATATATTTTGAATATAATTCCAGGTAAATTATTTAATAATTAAATCTAGTAAATAATTAATTAGACTTACGAGCTAAAATGTCTGACTTATGTAACACGCCATCTAAAACTGTCATTCTACTAAGGAAAAAATCTTTATTTTTTAAAATGACATAACTTATATTCTTTCACTCTTACGAAAAGGTGGGATCCATACTTTTATTTTTTTGTCAATTCTCTCTTCTCCTTTATCTATCTCTTTCTTTCTCTTAAAATAACATAACTTTACATCCTTTAAAATGATACACATTTTTCTCTTCTACTGATAATAATAAACCTTACAAAAGATTTGTTTTTTGCTAGGAAAGATTGGTTTGCTCAATGCCATTTTGTATGTGCTGGAATAGTATACAAGGAAGAGATTGTCGGTGTCATTGACAGAAGGGGAAAAAGAAAAAGCAAAAGCAATTAAAACAACTATGACTAATAGAGAAGGTAGGATATATTATTTATCCAACTACAAAATGGGAAAGAAAATTAGAGAGAAAAATAACATACACACCTTGTTACTATTCGAACGCAAAAACCGTCTTCTTGTTCTGAAAAAGAAAATGTAGAGATAATCAATTTTGCTATCGAAGATTATCGTGAAAGAGAAATGATAAGTGAAGAGAGGTGAAGAGAGGACAAGCACTGGAAGGAAAATTAACCTTTACCAGTTAGAGGACTCGAGAAAGAGTACTACAATCCGCGTCAAACACACCAACAAACGTCCAAGACCAACTCCGGTAGCCAAGTTTCAAACAACTCTCTTTCTGTATCACAGGATAAGCTTCTGCTTCATGCCTATATAATGGATATATTTCATTAGCACACGCAACCTAGGGCACGATATGATGAAGGGCAAATTTGTCTGAAATTTTTCCACTTTTTCATGTTTCATTTTCCAATGAAGTTAGATTCTTCAAAATTCCACATTTTCAATTGCATTCTAAATCCTGATTCTTATGTGTTATAGCAAATTCCAAGAACACAAGTTGTTGACCGTAATTTTGGGTTTCTGTGTACCAAACATAGTATTTAAAGAACGTTACTTTAACTTTTCTGGCCTTAAAAAACATACCCACGTACCAAACGTTTCCTATAAGTTGGTACATAATTTTAGTTGGCTTTTCAGCTTTTGTTGGATCTGTCTTTTCATGGAAAGTGAGTGAATAGTAAAACAGAACACGTCAATTAATGTCGTATATATACAATTATTTGAACTTGTACATGTAGCGTTGCATGCGCAATTGTAAGGGAATTTGTGTCATCTTGGTATATTAAATTATCTCCGGAGCATATAGCATGTTTTCTTGTGCTTCCCTTCGCTTTTTTCATCACCTACTTTTGTATGTTTACGATACATCCACGACTTGACTATACACGATCATATTTCTTATTTCATCATACTTGAATCTATTGATGATTTCCAAAGAGATTAACATGAAAACGTCTAATTACTATCGTGTCCTATTCATTTTTGTTTTGGATCCACATTATGGGTTTCATAGACAATATCAAACGTGGTCTTATCTAATAAAGAGTTTATAAATCTTACCAAATTATTCCACCTTTATTTAAGCCCTCTATAAGTATAAGGTTTATTAATCCTATGTGTACACATTTCTGAAACTCGGGTTTCTTTATTGTTGTAGTATATGTTATGGACCGAATTCATATCTTAACAACCCTATTACTATTACTAGTAAGATTAGATAGAGATATCACAACCATACAATCTAGAGAGGATCAAGGGATAAGATTCTTATCCCCATCAATTAAGGTAGATTTTATATCAACTGGGAGATCTCAAAAGTCCAAGCTTATGAAGGTAATCTTTATTTACTATTACTGCCAATATTGTGCACACACCCACGTCTTGGCTACATGCCCATTGATAGTGCGCAGTGATTGGAGTATTGACTATAAGTCGGATATCTATCTTTTAGATATCTCTGAGTGCATACCCATGAAATATTCTTATACTATTCAACATGACCGAACAGTGTGCATATATACTTTTATATGCTTCTAATTTCGTGTGCAAATCACTCGTGATTGTCTCTTTCATAAATACCGTCAATCGAACAATTTTATTTGAGTTTAAAGATATATTTTATTTAAATTTGTACTATATTCAATTCATGCATGTCAACTATGCATAGTGATTTATCAAGGAAAAAAAAATGCTCCTATAACTTTACTTTTTTCCCATTAATCAAATATCGAAAAAACCAGTTTGAACTTTTACCTGAAGTAATAATAAACTTCATATATCATAATGACTTTGTACTTTTTTATTTAGTAATACCATAAAAAGTTTTACATACATTGAAATACATTGAAACAACGTCAAGTTCAAACTCATTCAATCATTATAGTACCTTAAAGACATTTTTTAAGTGTGATATATTTCCTATTATAAAGTAACAAAGCAAGAGTTACAACATCTGCACGGCATCCACTTCTATCGTAACGCCTACTCTTTAGTCATTCTCTTTTTTCTCCATTGAGTTTTAATTGTTTCAAAGTTCAAATCTTGAAACCTAAACGGTAATTTAGACAGCAAAAAGGAAAGATTATATGCTTTATTTTGATGGATAAAAATGATTAGCAACGCCCCCACATGCACTGCATGAACACACCACAGGACCCACATTTTCCATTAAGCCTTTGATTTGGTTGGGATTCAAGGAGACAACATGCTAATAATATGACAATTCAACTTAGGATCCGGAACTCATGAATGAGACAGAGGACAGGTTTACGAGATTTCAAATCTTGCCTTTCTGCAATTAGCTTTCACCACCATTCATTTCAGTATTTTGCGGTTTCAACTTTATTAAGTGAAATGGAGAAAATCATCATGGATTGCCACAATATCTCTATTTAGTTTCCATCATAATTTGATTGATTCTTTGGGAGGATATTGTTGGGCAGTGTTCCTCTATCAATGCTGGCATGCACTCTCATTTATTAGGTGTCAGACTCAAGATAGCCCAACCATCTCAATCACCTTATCATTGTAAGAAGATTTTGGAAGAAGGTGGAGGGTTCCCCTCACCTTATACGTATACATTTGAAGACCTTTGTATAGGTTAGAGAGAGATTTTGAAAAAGTTTAACCTTAGAGCTTAGGATTTGAAAGCACCTTTAGAGAGAAGTTTGAGAGTGATCTCTTTAGGGATGTTT